AAATTTTAGTCACTAAATTAGTCACTAAATATAAAACGGAAATCAGCACTGATTCAGTTACTATCAGTGACTGAATTTTTCGGTTACTAATTTCGGTCACTATTAACCATTTTTCTAGTAGTGTTTGTTCCACATTCAATTTGTCAATGTACCTAACAATGAATTATAAGTTAAATATCATATAGTATAATGTTACACACAAATGAAACTATGACTTACATGGCCGATAGTTATCTTATAGGAAATATTCAACATGCAGTTTTCCCAATAATCTCTAATGCATCGAATAAGGAGATAGGGAGACATGCAGTCAAACAAGAGAATTATATATTCCAAAAACTCTTTTGTCCTACTTTATTTGAGTTGATTTCTTCATCAATTGTGATAATATGGTCAGAAACATAGATATTAGATCATTCTCAACTTCTTTTATATCCTCATCAATAACAAGTTCTCTCATAACCTGCTTACCACGATAGATAAATTCCAAAACAAATGATAACAATTAGTTAAACATTAATTAAATTATAAATAATTAAAAGAATATAAAAGAAAGAGAATGAGCACAACATATATTACCTTTGTTAGTACTGATGTGACAACACCAAATATCTTGGTCAAGCCAAGAATGTGCAACTTGTTTGCCTTACTAGTTGAACCTTTGTATTCGAAAAAAACACTGGAGAAACAACATCTACAACTTCATCAACTATTACCTACGTTCAGTCTGGCTATAGAAGGACAACACGGATAGTTAAGTCACCCTAAAAAACTCAACCAAGTGCCACTAGACATTGGGGGGTCATCTTCAATATATAACTCATACTGGTTTGGTACATTAGTGCGAGTATATTCTTCAGTGGGATCTACAGTAGTAGCACAATATTCTTTAGTATTGACTCAAACAACATCATCTTGAACTGTATAAAGTGTTCTTTACGTCTACTGCTAAGAACTAGCAAGAGATTCAAGCTTATCAAACTTTTGCTTTAAGGATTGTTGTATCTAATTTAATTTTTCTTCAAATTACATCTTCATTTTGTGCAAGACCTCCTGACTATAAGAGTCAATAGTGGGCCTTCGTGATGGTGGACCAAAGTAATCATGAAGACTCCAAAATCCACCTGTACCACACATATGTCTTGGGTGCTCTGATTTTCCTATGTTTGTTGTCAATTTGTCTTATCAACCATAGGGAACAAATGAGCTTTGAGTGACTACTCAACTAAATCATCCTGAAACAAATCAATAATAGGTAAGCCACATAATAAATTATATAGGGAGCAAGTAAAATTTACATTGGTATATATATTTTGACTTATAATTTTCTTGGCAATGACTCTTGCAAACTTAGAACTCATTTTTCCATCAGATTTTGTGTGAGCTGCCTTTCACATCTCTTGGCGGGAGTGGGAGGAGGGTGAAGATGCAAAGTCAGTAGACTCAAGTCCTACTAACTCTATTCTGACCTTCACGGGTCGTTGTTCCAACAATGCATAATTGTTCTGCGATAATAGACACTACAAGAAAATCGCGTATTACCGACGGATATTTACCGACGGCTTTGTAACCGTCGGAAAATAATTATTACCGACAGAAATTACCGACGGATATAAAATATTTGTGGAATTTGATCTTACCGACGGATATATCCGTCGGTAAAACCATCGATAAATTAACAATTAATTACCGACGGATATATCTGTCAGTAAATCCGTCGATATATTAACAATTAATTACCAATGGATATATCCGTCGGTAAATTCATCTGTGAATTACCGATCGAATATTTTCGTCGATAAATTAACAATTAGTAAATATTCACCTAATTAAAAAATTAAATATTTTTTATTTAATAATTTAATTTAATCATAATTAGATTAATTTATAATAATTTCTTAAATAAATAATTTTAAAAAATAAATATTTAATTATATAAAAATATATAAAAATATTTAATTATATATAAAAATATAAAAATATAAAAATATATAAAATATAAATATATAAATATATAAATATATAAAAATATAAATATATAAAAATATAAAAATGTAAAAATGTAAAAATGTAAAAATATAAAAATATAAAATATATAAAAATATAAAAATGTAAAAATATAAATATATAAATATATAAATATATAAATATATTTGTATATAAATATAATTTATTTGTAAATTATTATCATAATAATGGAAGACTATGAAAATGTAATAGGGGAAAATAATTAATAATAAATAATAAAAATATAAAGGGAAGGGTTTCTATAAAATAAATAAGTTAAATATTTAATAAATAATAAAAATATTACCGATGAGACTATTAAATCCGTTGGTAAATGGATATTATCGACGAATTTTGATCGTCGGTAATATGCAAATTTTTTGTAGTGAGATAGGGTGCATCATTAAGCTTTTGGCTTTTCTGAGTAGTTAGTCTTTCATCCTATAATGCAAATAAGAAAATTAAAATAGTACATTAGTAACAACTAACCTACCAAGAGGGGTCCAATCGACTAGAGAGTTTCATCTTGATACTTTCCAAATATATACTCGTGTCAAGAAAGTCTTGTCTCTCCATCTAGTGATAATGGTAGATAAAATATGCTTCCTCGTCACCTCATTATTAGGAATGTCAAATTGAAGTATTCAACAAATGTGGAAATACCTAAATATCTTGTCATATGAGGTTCTTCTCAGTCTGTTCAACATCATTCCAAGATGAAACAATAATAGAAACATGGCGTCGAGCGAGTCTCAAATAGCTCACAAATTTAGCAGTATTTTGGTCCAACGCCTTACCAGAACAAAAATCCACATCAACTTGTGTTCTCTCCCTAACAACACGGTCATTATCAACTGGGTAACAGATCAATCTTCGCTCCTGCCATTGCAAGACGTCAATCCACATCAACTTGTGTTCTCTCCCTAACAACACGGTCATTATCAACTGGGTAACAGATCAATCTTCGCTCCTGCCATTGCAAGACGTCAAATCCAACATAATTCTGAAAAAAAAAAAGTTTGGTTTATAAATTACAACAAACTGAATAAAACATACTTACAACAATCCATGCATGTGTTTAAGTCTCTAAGAGTGATCACATATATCCTCAAGTTTGTGACAAATTTCATTCAAACAACAAATGCATAAACAGTAATATGTCCCTGTGATAAGTTTTCAATTTTCACGAACAAATTGCAAAAATTCCATAACTTCCTTTTCGTACTCTTCACTAATATGACGTCAACTTTAGTCCATAACTACCTATGTTACAAATTTAATCACTTTTAGAGAATTAAACACATATTCATATTTATAAAAAACATAAACTGTGGAGACATAACAATGTAGTGTAATAAACCATACATGGACTCAAACGAATAAACGAACAATCACAAACAAAAATGTTCAATTTCAATAATAATACAGTGGAGACATTTATGCAATATTGTGATTGAGATCCCCAAAAATAATTATGGGTTCAATTTAAACGTAAAAATATACAACACTAAACTCAAAGACACAAAACATCATAAACTCAAATCTATATGGAGAGAAACGTCAACCATCATAAATGAGTTATAATGTATGTGTTGTCGTCATTCACCACGGTCATAAAACACTCTTAGAGGTACTCCAACACTCTTAAAGATGTAAAAATCATTTTTTTACATCGATGGAGACATGTCTAATATAAAAAGTGACTTTTTTATTAGCCAAAATGGAGTCCGATATAAAATCTCCTACTATTATTTTCAAAAATGACACAAGTTGATTATATTAAAATAAAAAATTACATAAAAAACTCATTTTATATTAATAAATAATAAGAAATTCTAATATCTCTTCTAGTGCATTTTTTTTTCCAAATCCCTTTCACTTTCACAATAACATTTTATTGAAGTGATAGATGTTTGCCATGCAACATTCATAACTTTTAAACAAGTTTTGTTGATACATCACCTCTCTCTCATGGTAAAATATTCCCATCCACATGAAGAAGTTTTTAATAAAAGTAATTTTTATTTTAAATATAATTATTTAATATAAATTATAAAAAATATTTCTTATATAAAAAAATATTTTTTATTCCCCAATTATTTTTAATAACATATTAATTTCAAATAATAATTAATCTTAATAATTATATTACAAACAAGCAAATAATAAAAATTAATAATTAATTTATTAACTTTTTTAATAAATATTCTTTCTTAAATATAATAATAATAATAATAATAATAATAATAATAATAATTTTTCATTTATAAAATAAAATAAAAATTTTATAAAATAGACTCATTTATAGATTTATAAGTTAATTTAATCTAAACTCATTTAATTAAGGAATTAAATGAAAACAAACGAAAATTTAACTGATTTAATTTATATTATTTTTGAGATAGACCTATTTTAATACCTTTAACTTTTTTAGCAATAATTACAATATATATATAAAACTTGAATGTGAAAACCAATGAAATCTGTACATTGTTTACCTTAAATTAACGACACCGAAGACCAACTAACATGAAGGACTTAATTTTTTAAACGCAAGTTCAATGTATATAGTAAAACCTAAAACCATTAAAAAAGGGATATACATAAAAACTTGTCCTTAGAAGTAGAATAACAAGTCTATAAATGATGTTATTAAATTACATTATCAAATGTTCCTTAATATGATAATGTTTGATTTTTCCCTTTAGAATTGTTATCATATAAATAAATAAATAATATATTTTTTAAATAGTAACTTTTTTCCTTATTAAATAGGTTATATATAACTAAATTATATAATAAGAATGGGAAGGAGAAAAAAAAATCCTAAATATACATAGCAAGACCTAATAATTTGTGGCGCCATTTGAATGGTTCTAGTTTAATTGCAAGTTCTCTAAACAAAATATGTGGTAGAAACATTTTGTCAACAAATATACAACACATGTTCGATGTACATCTCAGTTAAAACCTTAGAAACAAACCTGAAATCCATGCAAGACCATACACTTTTGACCATTTCAGAAGCTAAAAAGGTGGTGTTTTCCGAAACTTACACCCTATCTTTAAAAGCCACTCAAGAGCACCATTGTTCCTCAGACCTGCAAGCAAATAACGCAATAAACACACATTTGCTTCACACCACACCCGCGGGTCTCCAAAACAAAGTCACATTTTATTCATCATGGACATGAGGAAGGTCACCTGCGCTGTTCTCATCGCCGCTGCCTCTGTCAGCACCGCCGTGGCCACCGTGGAGGTTGCTGCCCCCGCCCCTGGCCCTAGCAGTGGAGCCTCAGCTGCCTTGCCACTTGTTGGCTCCTTGGTTGGTGCCTCTGTCTTCTCTTTCTTTGCCTTGTTCCACTAAGCTTTCATGGCAAGAGGTTAATGAGAGAATCATTGAAGTAAGGAATGTAAGCAAGAATTGATGATTTTGTAACAGAAAATGTTCATGTTGACATAACTTAATGATAATATGATTATGTTTTGTTTATGTTTGGACTCTACCATTGGCGCTTTATATTTTTGGTCTCTTATATTGTATTCGCAATTTGGTTGGTAATTTTAATTTTTAAACTTGAAAATTTCACAAATTTAACCAAATTCTCAATTTAAACGTTTGTTTTTTTTTAACTAATTAATTTAGTTCTTGATAATAGATTAAGTGAATAGGTTAGTATATCGTTCAATTAATAGAAATAATAAAAAAAATTGAGACATCAAATCCAACATCATCTTGAAAAAAAAAAAACTAATTAATAAATTTCAATAAAATGAATAAAACATACTTATAACAAAACAACTAATGTTATAGACAAATACCTATTGTGTTTTTTCCTATATTCCTTTATCATGATCACGTGCATGTCATTCATTTCATTGTTAACAAGGTCATCAAATATTTTATTTGAAAAAGAAGATATCTCATGCATATCTAGACCCTCGTCTTGGTCAAATTCGTGCATGTTTCTTCCGTCAAAAACAATTGACAATTTATCATTAGATGAATCCTTATAACCGACCTTGTTCAAATCAACCAAAATAAACACTAAATCATCTGTCTGCACACCAGTATTACCATTAACCTATCTACACTTGAACACAAGTACCCTAAACATAACATAATCACATTTTCATATTCTTGTAGGACCCAAAAATAACTCATATGCTATAATAGGTTTTTTGTCTTTAGAACTAGAAAAGTATATTACTTCAACCTGAATTGTGCACCCACTATTTTCTACTCAACTTTTGCCATCTTTTTTTAATAAAAACAATAATTGTTAATGTCATAATCACCAAATGTAATGACATCATTATTAGACCCACAAGTGAGTCTCAAAAGTTATCTAAAGCATTAACCCCAAAATATACTTTTTTTTTTAAACAAATAAAGGAAACTCTTGTTATAATCATTCAATACCCATAGTTTTCATTCATTCGCATATGTGTTGCCTTTATTTTTCTTATGTGTTGTGATATGTAAGGATTATATCATCCGTGTTTTTCAAATTGTACAAATATGATTTATTAACTTCTTTTTTATTGACATTTTTATCTTTAAATTTCGAGTACCCTTACCTTCACATCTTCAATCTTGTCTAGGAATTTCTATTGTTTTTTATTTTGACATGTACTGTAAACAAAACTCAATGGCCTTCTTCTACGATGTACTTTTCAACAATAGAAGCTTTTGGCTTTTACTGATTCTTCACATCCTTTTAAGATCTTCATATATCTCTTAACAGGGTAAATCCAACTAAGAAAAACCATACCACACAATCCAATTTCTATGACCAAATGGACTATCAAATACACCTTGATATAAAAAGAAGAAGGGAGAAAATACATTTGCAATTGACATAAGATTATGATGGCTTCATTTTTCAACTTATGTAACTTTTGATGATTACTTTTCTACAAATGACATTGAGGATCAAACACAATCAAGTAACAACAATTCTAACAAAAGCTATTAAGATATTCTGAATAGTCAGAGGTAAAAGTTGTTGCATCAACACATGACAATCATGAAATTTTTAACTAACTAACTTCAACTCATGCATAGATACCAAACTCTTAATATTTGAAGAGTATCCTTGTGGCACTTTTGCCCGTGTAAACACTCACAAAAAAAATTGTTTTCTTTCTTTGATAAAGTATGAACAATTGGAGGCAAGTAAATGTGTTTCCAATAGGTTGTGGATGTAACTCAGAACTTATACTCATGTTCACCAAATCTTGTTGTACTTTTACTACATCTTTTGTTTTTTCTTTTATGTTGAACAATTTTCCAATTACACTATCACAAATATTTTTTCCATATGCATGACATCTATATTGTGTCTAACATCCAACTGTCATCAACAAGGAAGGTTAAAAAATATAGTTCATTTCTTCCAAATGTTTTTCTCAGTGCACTTCATGTGCATCTTTTCAAACATAATATTAATATTTTTTCCCGTTCATACTTGTTCACCACTGCGTGATGTCGATGCAACTTCATCCTCTTCACATCCATTAAATGTTTTATTCATTCTATAGGTATGAATGATTACAAAATAGGAATTTTTGATGCCTAGTGTATGAAGTTTTTTATCAATGTTTCAATTGGATATAATGTGTCTTTTTCACATAAAGGGCACGCATAATAACCCTTCTCACTATAAGCACTCAAATTACCAAATGATGAAAACTTATTTATTGTGCACAATAACATTACACATAACCTAAAATTGTCTTCACAGTATGCATTAAAGACCTCCACTTATGTATTTTACATCTTCAAATGAACAATAAAAGGACTAAGATATACACAATGATGAATCTTCTTAGGGTCGTGACTCCCCCCTCCCTCCCCCAAAGTTTTGTAATTCCTATATAATTTATGATTTTGGTTTCCCCAAACTTAATGATCATTTAATATATTTACTTATATATTTACAATTTTATCCTCTCGTCCTTCCCTCAATTTTGTAACTCTTATATAATTTATGATTTTGGTCCCCTCAAATTTAATGATCATTTAATATATTTCCTTATATAATTATAAATTTATCCTCTCACCATTTCATCTTCTTTTACCATTTTATATTTATTTATTATTTATTAATAATATATTATTTGCCCCCAAAATCAATAGTCAAGATCTGCCACTAGATATACATCTATGTCATTTCTTGGTTGTCGAGGTTCTAAAATCATTAGAAAACATAATATATTTTCTCTTTGTGTATAACCAAGGTGACAAATTGTAAATGATCAATAAAATTTACCATGAACTATGTTTATTGCTTAAGTTCCCATAAGCATTCATGTCATATGTAGATAATCCAATTCTCAATGTTCTTGACTCCTCACCAAACTCCAAAGATGTTTCATCAATCTTCTTCCATTGTGAAGAATATATTGAATGTTAAAGAAGATTGTCATATTTTCTACCATTTGCATGTCATGTTAAGTTTTTTGCATATTCTTTTATGACAAACAATCTTTTAAGCCTAGGTATTATTGGCTAATACCATAACACCTTACTAAGGGGCATCTATTTCTTCCTCACCACTATTTCCATCGACCTTCTTTTTGAACCATGATAATGACAAACACACCTTTAATGTAGCAAAATCGTTTATGTGTAATATGTAATCATTAAGGCATATGCATGTATCTTTTTATACTCTAAACCCATTGGACATAATATTTCCTTCGTCTTATAGTTATGATTAGGTAACATGTTATCTTTTGGAATCATTTTCTTCAACAAGTCCAATAATTCGGTGAAACTTCTATCAATCCATCAATTTCTTGCCTTTGATCAGAATAATCTTAAAGTTGTTGATAATCTTGTAAAACTGTAACTTGGTATTGAATATTTGGCAAGCATACCAAAATTATCAATCATATTATAGTATTTCGATTAAATAAAAGTCGATCCCACGAGGAATGGTTTCACTAGAAATTCCAAATCATATGTTTACTAAATGAATTAAAGCAAATTGGGTTTTTCATAAAGATTTGGGTTGAAAATAAATGACAAAGAATTGTAAAGTGTGTTTAGAAAATATCAAATAAAAGAACTTAGGATTGACTTCCTTCCTTTTCTCTCTTTTGCATAATGGCTAGGTCAATTTAAAAACATCAATTAACCTATCATTGTTGGTGCCACCTACTCAAATCATTCACTTTGATTCCTCACATGTGAAATTCATAAGATAAATGTCGATTACTCACATAGTTAAAAGATTTTTCAGCATTAGGTTTAGGGTGTTAAGCACTTGATACATTCATTCTATTCCTGATATTTAATGTAACAAATATTCGTACCTGATCTAGGGTTTCAAGATATATTTTCCAATCATATCCCAAACATCAAGAATAAATCATTCCAAGGCACAAAAGATAAGAATAACAACATAAAAAAACATAGATTAATATCTCAAAATATCACCATGATACAAAAGAGTTCAAAGGAAGTGCACCCAATCCTTATATAATGAAGTTAGTCACTCATGATAGTCATTACAAAGTTCTAAATGAGGAAGAATAGAAGAATCCTTGAAGAACATAACAACAAAAACCTAAAATTCCATCTCAAAACGCGTTTTATCTTTTTAAAGGAAAATTTGGGATTGGCCTCACATCATTCGCTCAAGCGACCCATCATTCGCTTGAGCGAAAAACAGTAACTTTCGCTCAAGCGAGAGTTTTTCGCTTGAGCGAGTATAAACCTTAGAGCTTTGTCATATTTTCGCTCAAGCAAGAGTAGTTGTCGCTTGAGCGAGTGCACACCCAAGAGGTTTGTCATATTTTCGCTCAAGCGAGCGTAAATAGTGCTCGAGCAAATTTCCAGTTGAAAATTTTCTTCTTTCTTTCACTTTTTCTTCAATTATCTTCACAATTATGATCTTTGCTCTTGTATCAAGGTATTCTACCAATTCATTCTACATTGGGAGAAAAATAGATTAAAATCAATATAATTTAAGTGGTTACATAACAATTAAGAGCATAATTATATCAACTTTTACCACTTAACAACTCCCCCCAATTTAGAATCTTGCTTGTCCCCAAGCAAAGTACTTTTTCCAAAACAAAATCATCACCTATTATCACTTTCTCTTCCAGAACCACAACATAAAAATATTTTTCTTCCAGATGTGATGCTCACAACTCCAAATGAAAATATGATATATAAGCATTAAAGTTATAGAAACTAACAGAGGATAATTAATTATAAACTATCCTCAGAAAAACATGATCTATCAAATAGAATGATATATAATCATCTCTAACTCTCACGGGTAAGTGTTTATCTCATTCAATCACTTCATTTAGATATTACAATATTGATAATCATCTTCAAAAATCAAC